CAGATTAAATAAATTAAATAAATTAAATAAATTAAACAGATCGAGCAGATAAGCTAAATCTAGATAATATTACTATACTGTAATTAAAAGTATATTATATTTTATATATTATCTGTATAAACAAGATATATATATTACTAATTAACCTACAGTTATTAATCTATTTATTATATTTAATTTTTCTAACCGGCAGGTATAAATAGTTAAAATAATAATTATATTTTAATCTAACCGTAACTGTACAGTTAAAATTTTTTTGTATCTTAATCTGACCGCCAGGTTATAGTCAGGTTAAGGTTAAGATATAACAGTCAGGTTAATCCACTCTAATTCAGATTATAAATCTTATTTAGTATTATCTTACAGACTTATTAAATTATTATTTATTTTATTAATATAGCAGCTCTAGTTTTATCAGCTATTATAATATTAATTAAACCGGTTTTTAGATTTTTAATATTATATTAACTTTAGATTATATCTTTCAACTAGCTGACAGACTAATTTTCTATAATGTAAGAAAACAGACTACTATTATATTATTTTTTATTAAAAATAAATATATTGCTTAGGCTGTTATAATCTAAGAACTTTTTTAACTATAATTTTTTTATTAAATTAAATATTTAATATTTTAAAATTATACTAGTATTAATAACCAAGCCTATTATAATCTATATAAATAATTAATCTACTATTATTTTTACTAAAAATCCTAGATTCTATACAAAAATTAAATATATATTTATTAAATAAGACTTTCTTAGGTATAAAATATATACTAAAAATATTAAGTTTATTTATATTAGTATAATAGATTAAACAGCCGACGATCTTAAATAACTATTTAAATATTTTATTTATTCTTATTTTATTAAATAGTTTAATATAGTAGATTTTATCTAACTTTTCTATATCTATATCTACTTTATTTTTTATTTTAGAAATATAAACAGTTTTATATTTTCCTCTTCTGTATATAACTTAATAGCGATCTTTTTATTTATAGAAGATATAATAAATATCTGGGGTTATATAATCTCAGATTTTACTACCTTTTAGAGAAACAGCCACGTAGCCGTAGCTACACCAATCAATCCACATACATTTCCTCTCACACAGCTCACTGGACTCCACCCTGAGGTGCCACCTCCCACCCTGGAGCCAGCACAGCAACCCTCGACGAGGCCAGAATATTCCTCGCGATCTTCGAATGGCGATAGATGCTCTCCCCATGGAACACTACCGAAGCATCCTTACCGACAAACGAGCACAGTAACCGACTGCCGCCGGGATGCTGGGGCACAAAGTGCGTCAAATCGTGAACGACGCCGTCCACGGCGAGCAGCGCTCTGCGGTTTCCGGCTTCATCCGGGCGCACCATGCGCTGGTAATCCTCCCAATCAATCACCCACAGATCCTCCACATCAACAACCCGAGGCAACACCGCCAGCCGCCTCGCCAACCCTTTCTGCAATTCCTGGACCCTGGCCCGCTCGACGTCCACATCCGCCACGCGCCGCAGCTCATCCGCCCAGCCCATCCACTCCCACCCGGCAATCACCCACTTCGTGCAGTCCCAGTGATACCATCTGACCCCGTTGCGGTAGTCCCGGGGAAAGGTATGGTGGAAATTATGATACCCTTCACCGAGAGTCAGCACGGCGGCCAGGAGACTGTCACGCGGGGAGGCGCGGTCGTCGTAGGGCTGGTCGCCCAGCCAGTGGGCCAACGAATTGATGCAGAAGGTGCTCTGGTGCACAAGCACCATTTTGCCCAACGCTGCGTAGACACAGCCGCCTTTCCAGTCATCGAAGCAGATCCCCGCGACCACCGCCGGCAGGATCCAACCCATCAGCGGGGCGAGCCAGCGGAAGTGGCGCGCTTGCCAGCGCACGATCGGATCAGCGGTCAAGTCGGAGAGGTCGATGTGTTTGCGCCGTGCTCTTGCTGCTGCTGGGGGTGTTGGTGGTGGCCGCAGGAGCATCCACCCCATATGCGAGTGGAACAGGCCCTCGCGGATGCTGTAGGGGTCCAGCACGGTGTCGGTGTAGCGGTGGTGGGCGCGGTGCTCGCGCGCCCACCACAGGATCGGGCCTTGGAGGGCGCCGGCGCCAAAGATGGCGAGGTAGAGACGCAGGAAGACGGTGGCGCGGTAGGCACGGTGGCTCCAGAGACGGTGGTAGCCTGGGGGGAAGATATAAGTAGGTGATCCAGCATTGGGGTTTCTAGTCGGGATCTTGGCTGGTGTACCCACCTGCTGTAATGCAAAGTCCGGTGTGAAAGCCGTAGCCCCACATCAGCCATATGGTGCGCGTGTCGGGGGAAACCCAGGGGATCAGGCAGATGGTGATGATGGGGAGAATGACGAGGATCGTGGTGGGAATCCCTCGAATTCGCCGAGACCAGGAAGGGAGTTTGGAATGCCACATTCCGGCTGTCGCAGTGAGGAGTTCGATTAGATCAGTGGAAGAAGAGGGATCAAACTCTTCTGGCTGAGTCACTCAACTTAGCTATTTACCAGGTATCTGGGGGGAGAAGAAAGAAGAAATAAAGACAAAATGGACAATTGAGTTTAGGCGGCTATGGCTCTGTCATGGACTTCACTTCTATGCCGGTAACTTAACATTGGGGAGATGAGATCTGCGTAGACGACGGGGGTCACATCAATTACAATTACTGAGACAATCCTGCATGATGCTGTCTGTTGAACAACACCGTATGCAAGGGGTTATGACCTAGCACATTGCACCAATCGATCGACTAGGAAGCGGACACGACATCCTTTTCCTTGCCCTTGCTGCCACCTTTCCGTTCAGAACATCCACTCATGGATTACTTCGTACCTTCCCTACCGCCTCACACCAACAGACGATGCGATCCCTCCAAGCGACCATACGAAGTCGATCGTTTCGCAAACACGGCCGCGGATGCTTGGGGGCGGAATGGCGAGTGGTGGCGATTCTCTCAGCCCTGATCCTGGTCAATCTTGCCGCTGCCCTGGACTCGACCTCGATTTCCGTGGCACTCCCAGTATGTCTACCTCCTTGTATCTCTCGGAAAAAGAAGTGCGATTCTGACAAGCAGCCAGGTAATCACTAAAGACCTCGGGGGGGATTCCATCAGTGCGTTCTGGTGTGGGACCTCGTTTTTGGTGGCCTCCACCCTCATCCAACCAACCCTGTGTGTCGTCTCGGACCTCTTCGGACGTAAGCTGGCTATCGTGATCTCGCTGGTGACCTTCACCATCGGCTCGGTGCAGTGCGCGGCGGCGCTGAGCTTCACGCCGATGCTCTGTGGGCGAGTCTTCCAGGGGCTCGGAGCGGGCGGCTTCAACGTCATGACCGAAGTCCTGCTCACCGATCTGCTGCCCCTGTCCCAGCGTGGCACTTGGTTCGGGGTGTTGGGAGCCTCATGGGCGATTGGGAGTGCTTGCGGCCCGGTGGTCGGGGGCGCGTTGGCCCAGCTCTCCTCCTGGCGCTGGATCTTCTGGTTGAACCTCCCCTTCATCGGGCTCGCGCTGCTGGTGATGCCATTCCTACTGCAGCTCCAGAAGCCCCCGCTCACACCCACCAGCCTGCGCAGTCTCGACTACCTCGGCGCCTGTCTCTTCCTGACCTCGCTGGCCGCCCTCCTCATCCCTCTTACCTGGGGCGGGGTGGTCTACCCCTGGACCTCATGGCACACGCTGGTGCCCCTTTTGCTGGGCGCTGTGGGGTTGTTGGTCTTCATTATGTGGGAGCGCCGCCTCCCTCCCTCCGTCCACGCATTCATCCCGTTCACTATTTTCAACAACCGGTCGACCATCCTGAACTACATGGGGGCATTCATCCTGGGCATGCTCCTGTGGACGCTCCTCTACTATCTCCCGCTGTACTATGAAGTGGCGCATGGCTACAGCATGGTGATGTCGGGGGTGGCGCTGTTCCCGGAGACCTTCACGACGGCGCCGGCGGGGATCGCGACGGCCTTCGTGATCGCGCGCACGCAGCACTACCGGTGGGCGCTGTGGACAGGCTGGACGCTGTCGACGGTGGGACTGGGACTCTTGCGCCTTCTGACGGTGACGACGGCGGTCGCGCACTGGATCGCGCTGAATCTCACCGTGGGCGTCGGAGCGGGCATGCTCTACCCGGCGCTGGCGCTGGCCATCCAATCCTCCGCCCCGCTGAGCCACATGCCTATCGCTGTGACCATGATCAGCACCGCGCGCAATCTCGGCCGCACAGCGGGCGTCGCACTCGGGGGCTCGATCTTCCAGAACCGCATGCGCTACCACTGCCGGCACAGTGGCGTGGGAGCCCTGGTGGCGCAGGCGGGCGTCTATGCGCAGGACGCGGCCATGCTGTCCGAGGTGGTCAAGGGCATGCCGACAGACACGAAGGCTTTGGAGAAGGAGGCGTTGAAGGTCGCGTATGCCCGTGCCTTGGCGGATGTCTGGGTGTTTTTGTGTGGGGTGGCGGGGGTTGGGTGGCTGAGTTCGTGGTTTATAAAGGAGTTTTCCATGGAGAGGGAGTTGTTCACGACGCAGCCGTTGGAGCCCATGGGGAGTACGCTTCCTGCTGCTGGTGATGCTGCTGCTGCTAGTCGGGAGATTCTGTTGGAGGAAAGGGAGGCTGGGTGAGAGTGAGTTGAGAAATGGTATTGTGGTATATCTCGGTTCTGTGGGTTTATGTGTATGCTATGGACTGATGACCGCATATAGTAATGCAAATTCTTCACTAGCTTGCGTATACTATGGGCATGTATGTACAAGTTTCTTGCTTGTTCTTGAGGTGGATCGCTGTTGTTCTTGATGTTGTAAATGTTGTGTCAGCTGACTGTGTTTACCCTGAGGACTAAAATATGGGCACAATGTGAGGAGTCAGATACGAAACGCAAGGGGCCAGAAAGACGTGTCATATCTGTGGAATCCCTGATTGCATATCAGCAACTTCCCGGCTTTTTCTTGACATGGAAACCTTCCTTTCCAGACCACACCCTTTGTGAAAATCATGAAAATGACGACGCCACCTGAACCACCTGCAACCATCATACTAGCCAATGCTGTGTCTTTCACAGTAGGGAATGACTTCCTCACCATCACCGGTAGGGTTTTCTTCTACTCCAAGCAACAAAACTAGTATATTAAACTGTGCAGACGACCGTCGCGCTCGACGCAGGCGCAGAACCAGGCAATCCTGCTGCGGCCTACTCTCGCTCCGAGGTTGGTACACAACCTCTTGAAACTGATAACCTTTCTCATCCGCATGCAGGGGCCCCCTCCAGCTACCAAATTGACCTCTACGCTGTCCTCAACGCTCGTCATAGCCAATACACCCTAGTCATCAGCTACGTCGCCCATCACACCTCCGACAAAGCCCACCTCGACATCCTGCAGTACCGGACCAACAGCCACGACAGCCCACGCATTCGGGAATGGACAACGCACCTCCTCACCCTCGCCTACGGCCGCGCCCAGCCTCACAAACGCCTGAAAATCCTCATCAACCCCTTCTGCACCGGCGCAGCAGCCAAGTATCGCCACTCCGCCGCGCCCATCCTCGCCGCCGCTGCCTGCCAGATCGACCTCGAGCAGACCCAGTACCGCGGCCACGCCGGGCTGATCGCCGAGCATCTCGAGCCATCCCGCTACGACGCGGTCGTGTGCTGCTCGGGCGATGGGCTGCCGCACGAGGTGTTCAACGGGCTGGCGCGCCGGCCGGACGCGGTCCGCGCATTGACGAGCCTCGCCGTCGCTATGCTGCCATGCGGGTCCGGCAATGCGATGGCCTGGAACCTGCTAGGTACGGGCAGTGTGGCCCGCGCTGCGCTGGCGATCGTCAAGGGCGTGACCCTTCCGCTCGATCTGATGTCCGTCACGCAGGGAGATGCTCACTCGGTTTCATTCCTGTCTCAGTCACTGGGGGTGCTCGCCGAGTCAGATTTACGGACAGAGCATCTGCGCTGGATGGGCGACTCGCGGTTTCTGCTAGGAGTGGTGCAGACAATCGCGCGCCAGACGGCGTTTCCTTGCGAGTTGGCGTTCAAGACGGCGAGTCAGGGGGGAGGGACTATACCCCGGCATTTTGATGCGGGCGTCGCTGCTGCTGCTGCTGCTGCTGCTGCTGCTGCTACCACCAAGGCTACGCTTGGATCCTCTGAACCCACGGCTGCATCTTTTGCAGCCCGGGAGGCCGCGAGTGAGCCAGGGAAGGCAAGGCTGGTACTGAAATATGGCACCGTCCAGAACGAGCTCCCGCCGGACTGGGCGGTGATCTCCGGGGAGCGGCTCGCAAGCTTCTACGCCAGTAAGATGGCCATCGTGGCCAAAGACACCCAGTTCTTCCCGGCAGCGCTGCCGAATGATGGACTCCTGGATGTCATGACCATCGATGAAACCATCGGGTATGCCGGCGCCGTGGAGGCGATCGTCAAGCTACCTGGGGGACGATGCTACGAGCTGGACAAGGTGCACATGCGCAAGGTTCTCGCCTATCGCTTGAGTCCCCGGGCATCCGAGGGGTGGATCAGCGTGGATGGGGAGCGCTACCCCTTTGAGCCCTTCCAGGTCGAGGTTCATCAGGGACTGGGGCGCGTACTGGCCCGATCCCTTCATACATATCAAGTGTAAATACTAGTCGTTGATGGATTGTTATTCGTTTTGCTTGACTTCACAGGCCTCACCCACAACCAGTTCTAAGCCGTCACACATACGGAAGCGACTCATAGCTCAACGCCGAACCCGGCGTCCGCGCCGCCGTGATAGTGAAATTGTTCAACAGCTGCAACCGAAAGCTGGTCTCCGCCACGACAAAATAGTACTGTGTAGACGGTGTTAACAAAAGACTCCATGAACTCTTTCCCGGAGCAAAAAAACATACCAGCCACTTCCGTCGGAAGGTCTCAACCTCGAATGCCGTACAAGAAGGATTCTCTTTCTCGTAGTCCTCCCGGATCGCCTCCCAATTGCGCGTGAAATTCTCGCGCCACACCTGCAACGACTTGCCATAGTGCGATCCTGAGCTTTCGGCCGACGTCACCTCCAGACTCTTGCCGGAGCCTTCGTGGATGTGATCGAGCAGCATGCCGATAGTCGGAAGATAGCCGCCGGGAAAGATGTACTTAAGCATGAAGAGGTCTGATCGCGCCTGGAGGCCGTGGATCTGATGGGCGCGTTACCACTTGTTAGCTTCCCGTTCCTGATGCAATTGTTTAGTGGTCCCATACTCGATTGATGGCTGTGATCCCGTCCAACACCAGGATGCCATGCTTGGGGTCCAACAGCCGCGAAATTGTCGCAAAGTATTCCGGCAAATACTCCCGGCCGACGTGCTCGAACATGCCCACGGAGATAATGCGGTCGTAATACCCGCCATCCCCCGGTGGGCTCACTTGGCGGTAGTCGCAGAACAGAATCTCCACGCGATCCTGCAGCCCCACCGCCTGGATTCGCGCCTCCGCCCAGCTTTTTTGCTCCCTCGACAGTGTGATCCCCGTGACGCGGCATTCGGGATGGGTCAGCGCGGCCTGGATGCTAAGGTCTCCCCAGCCGCAGCCGATGTCGAGGATGTGGTGGCCGGCCAAGATCCGGGCCTTGCGCAGCAGGGTCTGCACCTTGCGGCGCTGCGCCGTCTCGAGCGTCTCGGTGGGTTCGGCGGACCAGTGCGCGCAGGAGTAGTTCATGTCCGGGGAGAGGATGTTGGCGAAGAGCACGTTCGAGGTGTCGTAGTGCGCAGATATGTTGATCTGCGCCTGCTCGACGTCGTTGCTGCGTTTCAGCATCTGCGCCGCGCCTGTGGCGAACTGATGAAGCCAGCTCCGACGGAAGCCTCCGCGGTGCTGGGAGAGCAGCTGATGTTCAATTCCTGGTTAATGTTTTTGCCGGTGAGAACTACTCGGTAAAGGGAGGTTTTCACCTGAAAGAGCTTGAGCAGCTGGTCCACCTCGCAGTCGATGTCCTGGAGCATATACGACTCGGCGAAGCCCTAGTAGATCAGTTTTGCGCCCGGAAATACTTGGGAAGATACACCTCGACGGTGATTCTTACCAAGTCAGCACCTGCTAACAGTCGACTCCAGAACCTGGGCGTCTTGACGACCACCAACACCTCTCGTTGTGACTCGGCCCCGGTGTCCCCGAGATAGGTCAACGGGTCATCTTTGGAGTATTGGAGTGCATACACCACCCGGCCTCCAAGTTTTTGCTTGGTGGACTCGACCACGCGGGCTTGCATCATCTGCTCGATAAAAGACGTGGCGTAAGAGGCCATGGCGTGGGTTGTTTGCACAAGCTGGATTGGGAGAAAGACAGCGGTTGACGCTATTTCGAGGCCATTAAGGAGGCAACTTCTTTTAAGAGAGACATTTTCGAGTGTAAAAGTTTCGATCATCCTTTGAATTTTACCTGAGTGCATGTTATCTCGTATGTGCTCCCTGGACTGCCCGCTTCCAATTAGTGCATCTTACGTGGCATAAGTGACATGTCAGCACCTGACTTGTTTTATCTGCAAGGGAAGAGTAGAGAGCAGATGAAAGCAGACCCTCTTCATCTCTAAAGCCTCTTGTCGATCTGATTGCCGCAGTTGAGCACAGGGAATGGACATAGAACAGGCCATTTGACCTGATCGTCGGCTGATATCTCATCTCTCAAGTCGCTGGAAGCAAGCACCAGCCAATGACACATCATTTGTGCTGCAGGCCTATCGATGTGACATATCGAATGTCCCCGGATCCCCCTTGCTGTCGGAAAAGACCGAATATGCCTTGCAGTGGTGTGTTGTCCGCTATGATCATGTAGAACCTGTCGCAAACCAAGTGGTCTTGCAGAATGGCTTCTGATTAGTTGTATTGTGACGGTAATTGCACTGCATCATTCATATGTCGGTAAGCAATGGTTGGATCCACCTCAAAACTCTGTACCCGTGGATATTGAGGCTTTGAGTGTCACCTTGCACAGCATCCTCATACCCCCGCACATTCAGTCAGCGATCTTTCTCCACTCCTTCCCAAACTCCACCCACCCCTCCTCACCTTAGGCACCACTGTCTCGTAACCCTCATTTAAGCGCAACATCCGCATACCCAGCTCGGAACACTCCTGCGCCATACAAAAACCATTCAATCCCATAATTAGACATCCGGGACACTCCCTGGTGCATTGCAAAAGGAATCACCCTCGGCGCGCTTGGTAGTACTAATGTCTTGCCCCTCGGACATGGAAGTAGCCTCCAGAGATTTCGCGAAGGGCGGTGGATTGCGGTGTCACGCCCATTACTTATGATGATTGGGGGCTGGATGCAACCGGAGAGATCATTGAATCCTTTGCAATTGTCTCATTCAACATATTCATTGCAGCCAGTATCGCAGGCTGCTGTGTTGCGAATGCATATCCACATGTGAAAGCAGTTGAAATCAATGCGGATATGTCGGCGCCACTAGTAGAGCTGTTGAACGAATGTGTCGACACGGGAAGTGGCATGCAGAAGCATTGACGAAAGAGCTAGTCTCCATGATGAGATAATGAACTCCGTTATAGTCTTCCACATCGCCCAAAGTACGTGAGCTGGAGACTTTGGTTCTGCTCTTCCTGTAAGCACCAAGACCTGTTAGCCGACTTCGTCATGAAGTGGTGTTGCAAGACACACCGCTGGAAAGAGAACCCCATCGCTTCACAAACCGACCTCGATCAGAGCACGTCGGCGATAAAGGTGCCTGGGCATTGCGCTAGAGGTTCTTCTTGCATGGAACCTGCAGAACAGGCAAGGCTGATTCTGACTTCCGGGTTTCAAGTCTTCAAGGCAGAAAAAGAGACAAATAGGAGTGCCTTCGTGATGAAACAGCTAGGCAGACTCAGTATCAGGCTCTCTAGAGGTTCGTTGCAAGCAAATGCTTCTCGTGTCTCTGGGGCATCTGAAAGCTCAGGTAGGGCTGACGTGGAGAGCTGATGACTCTTCCGCTGACCCTATGGCATTTAGCGTCGAGCTTGCAGGGCAAAGGTCACAGGGGATGCAAATGAATCAGTTCGCCACGAGAGAAGTAATGACAATACATTGTCTTCAACCTTCAGCTCTTAGTATTCACAAGATGCATTGGGTCCCAGGTGCTATCGCCAGCCACCCTCCCTGAAAATCTTTTTGTTGTGGATCGAACTTCATACGAATCTCAAACATATAACAATACAAAACTTGTCTCAGAGCTCATTTTGTCTTCTTTGAACCAACTTCTTATTGTAAAGTTCGATCGTAAGATTGTCTTTGCGATACAAATCCCTATACCTCTGCTCGCAACCCAGAGTTCCTGTCGCAGTTGAACTTTCCCGCCTCCCGCCTAACAAGATAACTTGGTATTGTTCTTGTCTGCTGCCTCAAGTGTTGCAAGTGATTAAATTACGACCTAGCACACGCTTTAAATGACAGTACATCCGGCGAGATATTTGTTTGATAGTAGGGTCATCGTTGATCGAAAATCGACTCGCCAAATCCCGGGAGGTTAATCCCGGGGGTCACCTCTTAAGTCAACCAACTTGCCACTGTGGCTTAGTAGTGCTGGTAATAATTGATAACAGGCGTGGTGGATTCGAACTGGAGTCTTGCTTTCCGCATCCATAATTTTGTTCTCCAGATGGAAGAGCCACTCATCTAGCACCGGTAGGACCTTTCCCGGCATATTGTGAATGTACACACATGTGACTTCTTCGTTAGCCAGAAGCACATATAAATGCATCCTTCTAGAAATCTACTCAGTGACATTGGTGTGTAGATTGATTACCTTCTTGGTCGCTTCACTTCTTGTGGATAAGGGCCTCCATGATTCTTCGCCTGAAGTTGTTCAGTAGCCTTATGCCATACTTTCCCCTTCGTCGGCCTCATTTTATTAGAACGAGCCAAGAGTTTTGAGTTGCCGCTAGATGTTCTTATCGAGTGTATATAATCGCGCAAATCAACTTTGAACAAACCAGATAACACATAACATCAAAGCAGCAACACCGATTCCGCATGCGAATGGGTGAAGTATATGATAGTCGCTCTCCGCCGATACGATGTGAATCTTGTGCGACTTGACCACGCCGATCTTATCCCCCCTCCTCTCTCCCCACCCCGCTCTCCATTTTGCCAGCTCTCTTCACTCAAGACCCTACAAGATATACCGAAAACTCCGATTCTGAATATCCGTCTCATCCACCATCTCCAACCCATCATCCTCACCGAGCACGACCCGTCGCACCTCCTCCGCCCTCACATGCACCCCTTGCTCGCGATCCCGCTTCCGATTCTCCCACGCCAGATACACCCTCAGCACCCCGGCCAACCCAATCGTAATCACGAAGCAGATGAGGATCGTCGTATACGCCGTCTGTTACCTCCCGCACGATTTAGCGACTAGCACCATACCCGCCCAACCTCCGTTCTCCCATCTAACTCCCGCAGAAGACCAGTATTGGGGAAACTTACATGATACCCCGGCGCCTCCGCACTGATGAAGAACTGCGGCCCGACCATATTCCCCACGCAGTACCCTACAAAGACCATCGCCAGCACCGTCGACTTCTTCGTGAATCCCGCCGTGTTTGAGGCGAAGAGACTCAACATCAAGGGAAACGAGGGGGCGATGGCGGTCACGAGCCAGAAACCCGCTAGCCGGGCGAGTTTGCGGTGCTCCGGGAGGAGCTTGACCATCAGGATCCCCGCCAGCGCCATCAGGTATACGCCGATCAGGGCGAAGAGGCGGGATTTCCGGACGGTGGAGGTGATCCCGGCGACGAGGATGACGGTCGTCAGTTGGAAGGCGGAGGCGGGCAGGCCCATGAGGATGGTTTGGGATTCCGAGTAGCCGAAGCCGTTGATTATAAGGGTTGAGAACTGTTTTTTTTTACTCCCAGGGGGGAGAAAAGGTTAGTCTTTGGGTGGAGGGTGGTGGGTTTGGGGTAAAAGTGAGGGTAGGGAGGGAGGTACGCTTGTAGTTCCGCCGTTGGGGACGCAGGTTACGAAGCTGAAAATCAGGAACCACCAGGATTTTGGATCTGTCAGAGTCTCCAGCAGTTGTTTCTTGTCGAGGTGCTTGGTTTGCGTTGTGCGTTGGAATTTCTTGGGGCGTAGAGAGGCGAATTCGCGTTCCGTGGCGGTCAAAAAGCGCGCGGTGTCTGGGCTGTCTGGCAGATAGAACCAGAGGATGATAGACCAGACGATGGTGATCAGGCCGAAGATCAAGAAGAGCATCTACTCGAGCTCTGGAGGTCAGTATTTTGCAAAGTGCTATGGGGAAAGACAGGCAGACCTTCCACTTGGCAAAATCACCGGTGTAGTGCAGGATTCCATAAGCGATCATGCTCCCGATGATGCTGGCTGTTGCATTGCCGGCGAACCAGAATGAGTGACGCGACATGTGCTCGGGGGGCGTGTACCACATCCCCGTGATCAAAGAAAACCCTGGGCTGATGGCACTTTCAAAGATACCCAAGAATGTGCGGAGGACCATGAGCCCGGCGTAACTTTGGGCGCAGGCGTGGAGAGTGAGGACGATACCCCAGCAAAAGCTACCGCTGGGTTAGAGACAATTCTGGGCGGTAACTGGTTTATTGGGGAGGGGAGCATACATCAGGATGCTGAGGTATTTTCCAAGGGGAAATTTGACGAATCCCAGTGAAATAGGGTATGATGCGACGAGATATCCAATGTAAAAGATACTGGATGTCCAGCTGTATTCTTGCCCAACGAGGTGCTGAGACAGTCAGCTATCAATTCGCACTGCATTTATCACCACACGTACTAAATCGCTCTTGAGTCCCAAAATAGCACTATATGACAAGCTTGTTTCTGTCCAGTATCAGCTTCGACAGTCCTTCCACTGCGAGTTAGGTTCGGGATGACTCACTATCTAAGTATTGAAGGCCATAACTTATGATTAGAAGCGGCATGAGGCTGGCATTATCAGCTTGTGGATGGAAGTCATACTCCGGCCCAGTACATACTGCAAATCTATCTTGCGCACCAATCTCTTCTCTTCTGCCGGCCCAAGTGTCTCTGCGGCGCCGTAGGCCTTGCCTTCGGCCACGTCTGCTGCATCGGGCACGGTTTGGTCGTCAAGTTTCGACAACTGGATCTTGTCTCCCATTGCTGGATACAAGCAGAAGCGTGTAAAATGAGGCCAATTCTTCGATGCAACTGACACCCGGAAATGTCCTCGTGGATGAATTGATGATCATTGATATACGAGGAAGGAGGGTGGCCAAGCCAGAGTCGACACTAGCATGGGTTTTTTCCCCACAAAGATAGCAGGCGATAAATCAAGGGGTGAAGTGTCTTTGACATCAGTGTTATTGACGTGGAGTCATTGTGGCGTGTAAATATGGTTGGTCAGATTAATCGACGGGCTGCAGCCGATCTCGGCGGGGCGTGAGCAGTTTCCACGAGAGGAATAGGAGGCGACCCCGGATTCTAAAGACGCACGAATCACCATCCAGCATATCGAAGGGTTACTGAGATCTTTCAATCAAAAGCAGGAGCGTCTACTGGCAGACGAATGACCCGATGCATATCAGTCCCCCGTTTCCCCGCAACAAATCAATTGCCGAACAAAAGCCATGGGGATGCATCCGCCAGATCGTCGTTTTGCCGCCAAGATGAAAGAAAAGGCTTCCCGAATGGCCACATCGGAGATGTTCCGATCCACCCACTCCCAATGTACCGGATCCTGTGTCTCAATCCCCAGGACCAATAAAGACCACTGAAATCGTTCCATGAGCTGCACATGATTTCCCCGAGATATAGTATAGTGCAAGGTCGTAACAAGATCACTCATTGCGGACTGGACCTCGATTGGGATCGGCTTGCTTCCCCATGCAGAAGCGCGGCTACGGGTGAGGTAGATACAAAGGGCATGGAAATGCGTGACTGTGACCATGGCCATCAGGGAGGGGTCGTTTCCATTAATTACGATGTCAAAGAGAGAAGCATGCTCCTACATGATCATTTAGTGACATATCAGCAGTATCTGCGCGGATCTAGGAGCATACCTGGCGAATCTGATCCAGACGGCGCTGAATTTGACCCTGGACGGCAAGATCTGGCGTGTCACTTTGGCTATAGCGATTGATCTCGTGATGAAGCCCAATCATTTCGAAGTAAACATGCAACGTGGCTGCCTCGTCGACTTCATGGAATGATGCCTTTGGGTTTGGAGATGATAACGGGTCCCGAGCATTGTTCCACAGAAAGGCTGTGCGTGACAGGCGCCAGATTTTACGTAGCTGGTCTTGATAGGCGCTCATGTATGAGGCCAACAGGCCCCCGCATCCGAAGAAGCTGCAGAATCCATCTCTGTCGTAGAGGTAGACGAGGACGCGGGATAGCAGGACTTTGTATGGCACCGCGTTTGTTCTGGGCTCTGTTAGCGAGTGTATCTCGTCGCTGGCGCAGGCCTGAAGTAGATCAAATTCTCGAATGTATGCAAGCACAGTAGCGCTCAAAGCCCGGAGCTTCGATGGTGAAATCCGTTCTCTTCGCATCCAAAACATGAAGATGTACAGAAATGAAAGCAGCAGCTCTAGATGATCAGTGGGTGCGACGGGGTTGCGTGCCTGGATAAGTAGCTCAGACCCTCGTTGCAAATGAATACATGACTCCGGTGTCGGACGGGCTCCGTAACCAAAATGAATCGCGAGCTCGCTGTGAGAGAGGGCGAGTAGAAAATGAAAGGCCATTTTTTTGTCCCACGCGTGGTCGAGGAATAGCGAATGTGCTGATAAGGAGGGTGAACGAGAGGATTTCATGGATGCGAAGACACTTCGATGAAAGGATACAGCCTCTGTGTCGCTGCTGCCGATAGACGGGCCGGTAAAAGGGTCGGCCAGAAGGAGAGGTGTGGCTGCAATTAGCCAGCTGGGCACGCTTGAGCTCGATGATTCGATAGAAGACAGGCCGTGTCGGGAAGATATCGATAATGGTGAGTCTGGCCCGCAATTGTCCAGTGAATCAAATCGCAAGTCACTGATAGCTTGAGGAAATGGGTAGATAGAAAGTCTCTCTTGATTCTGACTGCTGCCCACGAAGGAGTCTGATGCATATATTGAGGATCCAATTGCCGATGCTGTCAAAGCTAGTGATTCTGTATTGGTGACTGGTGATGACGGAGGGCGTTCTTGAGATGAAGCAGATGCCGAATTCGAGTACTCCGTCGATAATTGCTTACGAGCATCAGTAATTCTCTCATTTGGTTCATTGCTCTGTCGTGGTTGAATCGAAGAAGGTGTCCAGCAACCACTGTCGCGACGTTTGATCGGACCTAGCCCCCTTCTTCTCGCTGCCAGGGGCTGCTTTCCCCGTCCCCATTCGCATGTCAGACCAAGTCGAACGCACCGTTTACAGTGCGGATGTTGTTCATCGCACTTGACGCGTTTGCCAAGACAAGTCTGACATCCTAATATGCGATTGTCCGCGTGAGTCCTGCATTGTGCCGCGCGAGGTTTATGCCAACTCACCATTCCGTGACCGGCCTCTCTCTACTCGTGGGCGACGCTGCCGTGCAGGCTCAACAGACTGCTCCATGGCGCACCTTGGTCTGAAGCAATGCGATAAGGTACGATGGCTGTCGATTATTTGAAGTGAGAAGAAAGAGGGCGTCTCTATCAGCTGCCGAGTTGATGAATGCCGAGCCCGCTATCGCGCTCGATTAATCTGGCCAATCATCGCTCTTGCCTTCGGCACTTCCAGAATGGGCTAGTGTCAAGCATGTTCTGCCACCGCCTTTCCTGCACAGAGAATTTGCTGCCTCAGATATTAAGGCAAAGAATTGTTTGCTGCAAAAATAATGGCAAACAGAGAGCTGCTTTCCAGTCTCGCTATTACTCTAACCACAAAGTGCGATATCTAGGTACATTATCAGATAGGCAAGGTAGAAGCTGCTTGTGGGTATCTTCGCAATCTCAGCACTTCCGAGTGCACATTTACCTGGCTACCTTTTAGTTAGACATGTCACAAACGAGCGCTGGTGGTTTGTATAAAAGAATTGCGTCGAGAACCTCTCAGTTACTGAGGTATTGATCAAGCAGCATGGGCGCAATCTTCGAACCAGGCAGCATACATCTCTGTTGGTGCACAAACTGTTGCTGTTTGCAGGATAGGTGGCGTCTTGACGGGCAACCCTCCTACAAGTAACCAAAGGCCTATCACCTACTGAGGTCGCTTCTTATCCATCCTATTCATCCTCTTCCTTCAAGCTCAGACTGACTACCATCACTCTCAAATTTTTCGTCTTCCATCATAGCAACCCTCAACATGACCAGTGTACACAATAGCCAGAGATGTCCCATCGTCGGTCTCTACGGTATCCCCGGATGTGGGAAGTCCCACCTTCTCAGCAAACTCAAAACGCAGCTTGGTGAAGAGAAATACGTCTACCACGAAGAATCCAAAGTGATTGGCACTGTTCCTGCCGGTGACCTGGCCGGCTTCCGAGCGTATCGTGAACAGGCCATCCGCAATATCCAAAAGAACCCGAAACACGGCTGTGTCACCGTCGTCACAGGCCATTTCATGTTCTGGGAGCCGACCGAGCCGATGGGAAAGATCGTATGTACCAACAAAGATCTTGCAACATGCACTCACATCTTCTACTTGGACGTGGCTCCTGAAGTGGTCCAGGGCTTTTGGGGACAGGATACAGCCAGAAAGGGTCCCTGTCCCCCAGTCGACCACATTCGAGCATGGCAGAAAGTTGAGAAAGCTGAATTGCGGAGTCTCTGCCACGAGCACCGAATTATCTTTTCGCTTCTAGGCGCCCATCAAGATGCTGCGAATCTTATTGGAAGTGTTTGGCACCACGACGAAGATTCCAATCTCCGGCTTGCTAAGCATCATCTCAGGGAGGCACTCGGTGGCAACCTGTCTGGGAAGACTGTTTTGATGCTAGACGCGGACAAAACTCTGTGTTCCCAGAATACTGGGGAGCTTTGGTGGAGGATATACCGGCAGCATTATCCTTCTGATAAGTCTGATGAGTCTAACGAATCTGATGACTCTGATAAATCTGATGTGTCAGATGAATCGGATGGATCTGATGGTCGTGAATGCCCCTTGAGGCGGCTGTTTAACGGTCCGCTTGGTACAGCTATGCTGCCTTTCGCCAAGCTGTTTTCCTATACGAAGAGGCTGCTGATGATCAGAAGTTCGATGAGATCTGTGAAGGGGTTGCTTCGAACGTGAATGTGCATCCTGAATTCATCAACCTCCTGTGGCATGTTTTTGACGACACTTGCGTCAAAGCAGTGGTGGTTACCTCAGGCACACGGCTAGTCTGGGAAAAAGTCCTGACACGAGGAGGTTTATCCGACAATATAAAGGTTGTTGGTGGAGGGCGCATTAAAGACACGTTTGTCGTCACTCCAACGGTCAAAAGTGCTCTGGTCGGCTACCTGCGGAAAACCTTGGAGGCGGAAGTCTGGGCCTTCGGTGCTAGTCGCATGGATTTTGGGATGTTGCGGAACCCTGATCAGGCGTTTGTCGTCGTTGGCGAAGAGGCTAATCGAAGCACAGCCATGGATGAGGCCTTGATGGATGAATTCACCAATGACAGATTTCGGCCGAAACAGGTCTTGCTGCCTGCTACTTCCTCACCACGACTAGAGACAAAAGTGCTACCGATCACGACTCTTGACAGCCAAATGTTTCTAGACTTGCTCTTTCGTGGCTCGAAAAGAGTCACGGTCATCGAAGCAACCGATACGGGTGCCTCCCGAGTTCTTACCACTCCCACGAGGAACGCCTCGATATCCGGACCCGCGCTCCAAAACGCTCATCGCGACGCTGGAAGGTACCTCGCGCTTGCATACTTGCCGAACATCGTTGATATCGAAAATTACCCTATTTCACATGTGCAAGGCCATCAGGTCACCGGCCATCGACTCCAAGGCCAGCATCATAACAACCATAATTGCTTTGATGCGAGGTGGGGAGCCTCTGGCTCGTGGGATTTATGACTACCTGCCTGGAGCTGCTTTTATCCACGCGAAGGTACCAGACGATGTTTGCCACGGCCACTTGCAGCATCAGAAGACGGTCATTCTGGCAGACTGGGTCATCGACAGCGGGCAGACAGTGGCTAAGTTTGTCCGTCATATTCGGAAGCTGACTCCTGATGTGCGCATCATCGTGGTTGCTGGCGTGGTGCAGGGCCGATCAATCGCCAAGCTTAGTCCTCTTGAGGCGCTGGTACGCTAAGGAGATCTTACGGTGATAGCGCTTCGCAAGTCTGATAATGAATACAAAAGTAAAGGGGAAACAGACACTGGCAATCGTCTATACAATACGTTGCATCTGCCTTGACGAGCATCAGATGGTGAGCCCCAATTTCTTTCCTGGCATCTCAGGTAGTTGAATGAACCTGCTCACGCATCATCTTTCGTGTCTCAAGCGGACGCCCATTGGGCTTATCAATGACACCTATGGACCGTACCTTTCAGCCTTGCAGGGTTGGGTAAAAGGGTCATTCAGTGGCTTTAACTCCTGCTTCCGTAACGGGTAGGGGTGATGTCGAACGATCCTTTCGTGTGTCTAGATTGAAATACAGAAATGGTTGTTGGTTTGCTGAATTTTTGGCTGGTGGTAGCCGCCTGATGCTATTCCAGTCGGAAGACACGCAATGGCAATATGCAAGATTTCTTGCTTTGTATCGAAGAAGTAAATTGATTCATTGTGGTATGAACCTAAATTTATGCCCTCCCCGCTGTATGTTCTGATGCCTGATAATATGCTTTGTGCTTTGAGTACAGATGAAACAGAGGGTATATATATGGATAAGATAATGAAGACACAATAATAAGCATGAACCTTATTTCTCGATCATATCGAATTACTCAATGTCCTCTGCTTAGGAATGTACCTAACAGGCACTCCGTCCGAATGGAAAATTATGCTGAGGGGTGTCAACGGCCGGATGAAGCGCTTCTTGGTCAGAGTTGGAGGGTATCCTGCCTTCCACCCGCGCCCCGGCCCACTTTTCAGTGGAGCCAGCGCGACAAGCGTCCCGTGAAGCTGATCCTTCGCGTGGGGGCCAGAAATACCGCCTCAGCCAATTGGACTTTGAGATCAAGAGCCATAGTGGATCCTCCACTGGCGATCATGGTAGTTCTGCGGACTGGGATTGTGTCTGAGGGTGATGCGCGGTCGGCGGCATTGACCCTTCATATTTGGCCGTTGGCATAGTTTGATGCGAGGGATAGGGAGTGGGGTTGTAGGGTGCATGGTGAGGATAATGGTGGTATGAACCAGAGCCAGGGTTGTAGTTCATGCGGTGGTCGTATGCATAATGTGATTGTTGGTATTGTTGGGGGTGGTGGTCGGGGTGATGATGATGGCATTGGCATTGGTGCGCTTGAGTTTGTTGCTTCTTTTCTTGAAAATCATTCGCAGCTCTACACAGTAGAGTCATTTAGCATTTTGTCCTACTAGGGGGTCGAGCTAGCTGAAGTGTACGGCACGTACTTTGAGGAGACTTTGAGGAGGCCGTAAGCTCCGGCGAGTTGGATTCCAGTCTTGATGAGGCCCATTTTGATTGTCAGCAGATACGGCTGAAGTTAATGGGAGAGATGAAAGACAATTCATTTCATGTTTGAATTGATAGAGATCAATCGCAACTTTATACTGCCCTCCCTGTGACGATCACCTCTGAGCGCTACGTCTTGCACACCGCGGGGCAACCCACTCCAGGCCACGCTAACCCTAAGTTGACGAACAAACCGAGCCCGTGTCAACTCCGCCACAATACCAGACGACAATCAGTTTGAGGTCAAGCATCAGAACAATCCGTGCGCTGGGTAGACTGGCCAAGCTAGGATGGCAATCTCAGCCAAGCAACCCCTGACCGGCTTGCACCAACTCTTTCCCTTTGTGCAGCATCAATCCGAGCCCGTCTCGCCCAGACTCCTCGCTCAATCTCCTCCCCCCACTATGCCTCCAAGACTCAACCACCGTAAATCTGTACGAGGCTGTCGTAACTGCAAGAGGCGTAAGGTGAAGGTCTGCACTGGTCCATGGCCCACTATACCCTGCCCAATTGCCCCCCCCCCAGGAGCTAATTCAACACATCCACAGTGCGACGAAAAGCAACCCGAATGTAGCGCCTGTATCCGTCACTTCGTGGTCTGCGAATATCCCGACCTCCAAACCATATTCCACAGCTATGAGGCCCCAAGACAGCAAAGACGGCTATCGTCGCGACCAGCCCCCCTTAGACGGAGCCTTCCCTCCCCCGAAAGAGCCAACCTCAACCCCACCGACCTCCAACTAATACACCACTACATCACCGCCACCGCCCACACGATGGGCCACGCGCAGCTGCCCCCCGTCCTAGCCATGTGGCAGCTAGCCGTTCCCGAGATGGCCTTCGAGTACCCGCCGCTGCTGCACACCGTCCTCGCCGTCGCGGCCACCCACCGCGCCGCTTTACTTCCCGACGCCGCCGATGCTGCCACGAGGCGTCTCCGCGCCGCGCACCACCTCCACATCGACCGGGCCCTGAAGCACCACCGGGCGGAGACGGCCCGAGTCAATCGTCCGGGCACAGTCGTCTCCGAAGCGTTGTGCATGAACACGATCCTGATCTGCCTGTACGCGCTGACGCTCCGAGGCTGCGCAAGGGGAAATACTAGTCCATGCACCACCTACGAGCCCCCGCTGTTATGGCTGCACATGTCCCGGGGCATCCGGCTGATGATCGGCCGGGCGTACCACGGTCTCGTCGGGGCCAAGGCGCGGATCGCGCCGTTGTTGATGGCCAAGCCCTTGGTGCACGGGGGCGCCGCTACGGCTGCCATCACCTCGCGAGGCGCTGCGATCACCGTCCCCACGTTCGCGAGTCGCACGAGCAACAACAACAACAACAACAACAACAACAACAACAATGCCAAGGGGATATCTAATGCCGAAAGCAGCAGCAGCGAAATTCGACCCCTCCAATTTCTCCTGGACTGCAACCCTGACGAGGAAGGCGAAACGCCGCAGATCCGCGCCGTCTACGACGAATGCGTCAAATACCTCGAGGGGATGTACGTCGCGGTTGTGGACCGCGGGGAGGCGGGCTTCGATCTTCGGAAGCGCTTCTCCTCGTTTGGGCCGATGACCCCCGCCCCGTTTGTTGGGCTCGTGGCGGACCGCAGGCCCCGCGCGTTGGTTATTCTTGCCTATCTTTTTGCGTTGGCCAAGGGGGCGGAGGAGATGTGGTGGTTGAAGGGGATTCCGGAGCGGGAGGTTAGGGGAATATATGGTGTTTTGCCGGTGAGGTGGAAGGGGGTGACGCGGTGGGCGTTGGAGTACGTTACTGGGGGTGGTTCGTGGAGCCTTGGGGAGGAGGGGGCGAACGGGGCTGTGGTTGGGTAGGTTTTGTTTTTCGGTAGGGCGTGTAACGAAAGATGGGATTGAGGTGAGCAGGGGTATTAAGGTTTCATTAAGATATGTAAATCATACTGCTGAGGATGGATGTGGTGCAGGGATGCCTGTAGCATTACATGACGGGAAGTATGGGATAGTGCACAGGGGTAGTATCCTATAGGCACTCGAAGTGAACGTGGTTCAAGACAAGGTGTCAATGCATGCAGACATCACAGCTTAAAGTGCAAGAAGCAATCCAACGCCCGCCAGACCCGACAGAAGTCGGCCCGAGTTGCTCGTAGGGAGAGCGACCGCCCCCGCCTCGGACGAGGTGCTCTCAACGGAGGCTGCAGTGCCCGTGGCGGTAGGCTGGCTGCCACCCTCGGTGAGGGTCACGGTGCCAGAGACCATAACCGTGGGCCCGGACACAGCACCCGTTCCGGTGGCTTCCACCCCGTTGCCCGTCGCCGATGAAACAGCCGACGGCATGAGCGTAGCTCCCGGCACGGCGTTGGTCCCCGTTCCGATCTCAAGGATATCGTCCTTACCGGGCGAGAAGTTGGTGTTAGCCACCGAGATCTCATTGTTGGCAAGGTCATAGACCACGTAGGCGCTACGGAGGAAGGTGTCGCCCAGGAGATTCATGCCAGGCTGACTGGGCACAATTCCTAGGATACAGTCCCCCTGCGCAAAGTCGGGCTCGGTATAGGGTAGCACCAATTGGCTGATGGGGACGGTGACAGTGGCGCCGGAGAATCCGAAGGTCACGTTATAGTCCTTCTCCATAGCGCTGCAGGCGATGTAAGCGGCTTGGCTCTTGGTGGAGTAGCCCGCGTCGAGCTCCTTGTAGATCTCGTTGACGAGGTCCTCCGGCAGCGCGGTCATGCTCGTGCCGGTGTCGAGGCTGCAGGACAGGGGCAGGCTGGTGGTGTACTTCTTGGAGCTGGAGCCACTCTTCTCCACGGACACTTCGGTCAGGGCGATAGCCAGGGACACGTACTGGCCGTCGCGAGGCACAATCGGCACCGTTTGCAGCTCGCCGAGGTACTTGGCCTTGTTCACGCCGCCAAAGAGGATAGAGCCCGTCGTTGCGTCCTCGCCGTCGAGCCACACGCTGTAGGCGGGCGACTTGATGGCGCCACTGTCGACCAGCGCCTGGGGCAGATTGGAGTACACTTTGCCATCGTACTCTTCTTGGTAAGTCGCGCGCGCATATCCAACGCCCGCGATACCCTCTGTTGGTGGAAATCGGCCGTGTCAGTATGAACCCTCTTTTTTTCTTTGCTTTCGCGGTTGCGTGCGAACACCAGTGTTGTACTTACGGGCACTAGTCGACTTCTCAGCAACAGCAAACTGCATCGACTTGATTGTAGTCCCCCCAATCGTGACATTGTCGGTTGCGTAGTTACCGTAGGAGTTCGTCCCGTCTCCGTATGTGTCGTTCATAAAAGTGGCAAGTTTCTTGTAACTTGACGAGGCGCCGGAGTCGTATGTCCCGTAAGGCTTGCAGGGGTTGCTCTTGGCCGAACACTCGTCCGAGTCTGGGGAATTCACCCAGGTGTCGCTGCTACCGGTGTCCAGAGACAAGACCACCTTCTGTGGAGGTGTCCCGATAGTCAGGTTGAGGGTATAGTAAGTGTCGCCCTACACGTGGCTGGTCAGTTGTCCGCACGATCTGTGTGTCTACTTCGCTGAACGTGCGGCTGGCCAGCTTACATGATTATCAAGCGTTACGTCCACAGTAGAGTCTCTCTTCTGGCTTGGTTGAGTAGCCGGTTTGCGCTCAATGGGGATATGGACGGTAGCAGGCACATCACGGCGGTGCAGCTGAAGCGCATCCACATAGGGGGCGGCGGCTAGCCCGAGGACGGGGAGGAGATGAGCACCGCGCATATTGACTAACTAGTCGCAGCAACCGCGCAAAGGGTAATATCTGACTGAGAGTGAGAAAGACAAAGAAAAAGAAGAAAAATCTCGAGTTACTTATGCAGGTGGGAGCAGGCAGCCTTTATGACCACCATCCCACTTTAATTAGGTTCCCTCATCAGGGCTCCGGATAACCGGTGATTCAATAGTCAACGGGCTTAGAACCACATCGAGGCTCCAAGCCACCACTCAGCTTCGTCGGGTACAGCCGGACCCAGTGCCAATCCAGGCTTGTCAGGGGTGCTTAGGCCGAAAGTGTGCAAGGTCCGAGGGTCAGCGAATCACTGATCAGGGAGTTATGGCCGAGCTACAAGCGAAGGAAGGTAAGCCAGCTTAGCGTGAGTTCTTTCATCTCCGGCACCCACGCTATGTGGTCTGTTGGCTGTGTGAGTGTGGAGCACGTCGCTGTTAGCGTCAGGGGACCTGAAGGCGTGGGAATGTCTGTTTGGTCCGAATCTCAATAGTTCGATGTCTGCGGGTCTAATTGGATGGATGAATTCATTTCCCGCCGGCGTGAATTCGTGATGGACGAGTTTGGGAGGCCCGAGTCCGGGAGATGTTGTGACTCGGAGAATAAATGGTTGTCAGATCTTGGTGGGACCGTGGATGCTGATCTGGGGTACGACGAGCAATGTGCTGCAATCCTGGTGATCCCCGGAACCTTGAGAAAAAATACAGATCGGCCGACAGACACCATCATTCATCAGAGGCCCGTAATTTCTCGATTTGGTGGGTCGGAGATGAGCCCGGCGGGCGGGCCCGGGATTCCCCAACTAGGCAATAGATATCAGAGTCAGGAACCAGTGGAACCATCCACCAGAGCCCTGAATGCTTAGGCTGAGGGCCGGGAAAAGGAGCGGAAAAGAAAAGGGCAAAAAGGATGGAGCTGCGGGGAATCGAACCCCGGACCTCTCCCATGCTAAGGGAATATTATACCACTAAACCACAGCCCCAATTGATGTTAGACGATTGATAAGATGACTATAGCATGCTAGCTAGTGCATGCTCTCTCGCCCTCTACCTGCATTTGGGGGTCTCTTGCTACCCCCATTGTAGCATTTGTGGCTACTTATTGTACCCAGCGCAAGCTTACATGATACCTCTTGGTTATAAGTAATGACTGTAAACAATTTCAGGTGTCCAATGATACCGTCATATGAGTTCGATTTTTCGTTTACATATATCGCCCCTGGAGTTGCCACCACTATGTCAAACCTGGCACACACTGTTAGTGAGGGATGTAAACCCAATTGGA